TTGTTAAATTGTCTACAGTTGAAACAATAGGTATAACTTTTATTCACTGATTACTCCAACCGGGAGTTGTCCATGTGCAAGGATTCGTTGAAGAACCAACCAATCAGGTGCTGGATGGGAGTTCATCCACAGGAAAGGGATATTTACGGGGTCAGTCAGACATTCACCATGTCCAGTGCCCCTGTGGCCCCACCCCTTTTTATGTGCAATTATACTAAATGCATACTGTATGATACCTGTCCTTTGTTCATACTAATTTGATCACACAGTCACTGTTCCTGACGTGACTTTTAGGCTTGTGGAATAAATTAATATATTTGCATAGACATTGCCATTTATTTGACAGTTTTATGGAGACACTTTCTCTCAAATTGCATAATGCTTATGCAAAATAGAGCTGATGTGTTTTTTTGTTCATTGAAAGAGATGGAATCATCTGTAGACCCTGTTTGCTTGCATGTTATGAAGTTTATAGATCTGTACACCTGCACACAACAGTAAATCCTAACTGCATATTTTCACACTGCTTGATGTCTGTATCTTATCAGAAATGATGTACAAATACGAAACAGCAGGTTATCATGCATAGCGTACTTGCACACTGCCTTTTTATTGCAAACTTTCTATTACAGGAAAACAGCAAACATCTGATCAACAATCAAGCAAAGACCAAGGACATGTTTTTCAAAATCCAATTTCTGAAGCATTTCTATTCCTAGGGTTCATCTGCCCTGCGTGACAGTCTGTTTTGTGAGTCACAGATTAAGTCTCACATCAGGGAAGAAAATAAGCACAGCTAGTGAGCGGCTTTCACACACTGAAAGCGTTTATGCTTTCAGTTTAACTGCTAATGAAATTACCTCTGTGTCCTGTTATATGGCATTTATATTTACTCAAAATCTTTCCAGCTGAGGCATCATGCCCACTCTAACTCATGCTGTTTGTGCTGCCTTAAATATAAATGATTTTAAATCCATTTACCTACAGCTGAGAGAATGCAGATCTTGGTAAATAATCTACACTGTGTCATTGTATGTTTTTTATTATGCTTTCAATGTATGTTTCATTCTATCAGTTCAACAGCAGCACACTAATCAGTAGCTTAATAGTAAATAAACTATGACAATTTTTTTTTAATCAGGCTAAAAGTTACCTAGCAATGGAGTAAACAAATTGTCTGCCAAACTAGCATTACAGTAAACATCTACATGCATCAGCAAAACTATCACATACATAAAAAAAATTGCAGCAATCAGTTAATAAATGTCTGATGGTTTCCTACATCTTAATGGGAATTGGCTTAATGGATTGCATCAAATTTCTGAATGTTCGCTCATGAGCTCACGTTACTGTCTGTGTGGAGTTTTTCATGTTCTGCTTGGGTCTGTGTGGGATCCTCTGGGTTCTCTGGTTCCTTTCCACAGTACAAAATAGACTGCCAGGTGGAGGTGCTACTGTAACTTGTCCCAAGAGTCTCTCAGAGTGTTAGTTTCTGTGGTTAGCATGTTCACCTCACACCTCCAGGGTAGGGGGTTCAATTCCCACCGTGGCCATGCGTGTGTGCGTGTAGTTTGCATGTTCTCCCCGTGCTGCGGGGGTTTCCTCCTAATACTCCGGTTTACTCCCCCAGTCCAAATACATGCATGGTAGGTGGATTGGCATTTCCAAAGTGTTCGAAGTATATGAATGGGTGTATGAATCACTGCGCCCGGGAGCCACCTTCAGTCGTCTTGTCATTGTCATAAGATGTCGGCATTGTCATGAAGTAGCTTTGCAGAAATATATCAATTCAGGATATAAATTTTATAATATATGAATTTATCCCTAACGAGCAAGCCAGAGGCAATTGTGGCCAGCAAAAACTCCCTGAGACGACATGAAGAAGATGCCTTGAGAGGAACCACTCCAAAGGGAACCCATCCTCATCTGGGATAGTGATGAGGATAGTGCAATTATAAATAAATCCCTTCTATAGCTGTGTACTACATGGTCAAAAAGTGCAATTGTGTAACCGGGAAGTTTATTACAGTCTTAACATGAGATTATCCACTTTTTACTGATACCGACTTGTGCAAAACTGCTCATGAAAATTGCGGTATCATAGTATAATTGTTCAAATGAATTGCAGTTCTTCATGAAATGAAAGTTCATCTTCATGGTTTTTAAGTTATACCATCTTCATTAATCTCAATGATCTTCAGGTTGTCTGTGTGGAGCCGTCCTCAGCAGCAGCGAGTGACTTCCAATTGATAGGAACTCCAACCAGAAGTTGAATATTTAGACAGAGTCTTGAAAATTATACAAAATAAAGTACAATTTTAAGAAGAGTTACACTTCCACTAAAGTGCATATGTTGTTTTTATTGAAATTAAGACTCACTATGGATCGATCACTCAAAACATTCTTTCAGTCTTTGTAAGTGTAAAGATCTGTAAAAATCCTGAAACCTGCATAACAAAATTGCTTCAAATCTCCTACTTGTATAAATGATTTAAAGGGATATTGATGCAAAACAACCCCTGGGTATTTACTGTGTTTTTGAGGTATGGGAGGGAGAGATTTGTTTTTTAATAAGCAATAGCATGCCCTCCTTTGTTGTGCCATTCTTTTTATTATTTTTTTCCCTCCAGAAACCATTCACCCAAAGGATCAAGGCCATTGATATTAGCTTTTTGCATCTTTGGAACAGTGACAAATGAAGATTTTTTTATGGTTTTCATGTAAATTAGGGAGGTTTTTAATTTCAGTAAAAGCTTATATTCAGTGCTGAGACTTGCAGTCGCCATTTCTCTCTCTCTCTCTCTCTCGCTCTCTCTCTCTCTCTCACACACACACAGACACACACACACACACATAGAAAATGATGTTCAATGCAACAGAAAGAGACTCTGATCTAAAGGATGAGCCACTAGCTGCATGAAGACTCAAGAAGATTTTCTTTAATCTTAAATCTTAAATTGCATGCTAATACATTAGCCAGTTGTATAGATTGATACAATAACATCATATAATACCAATAATTATTAAAAAAAAATTTAATTAACAAAATAATAACTTGTGATATGTTTATGCTCATTAGGGGTATGACAGTGGACTCTGATAAAGGAACATGTTGAGTATTAATATTGTGCTATACTATTACGCTATACATGTGTAAATCATAAACGCCCTCACAAGAAATAGGATCTGCAACACATTTCTGCTGAATCTCTAGAACGGTATGATTTAACTCACTTTCGCACAAGATGTAAGGAAGACATGCATTAAAACTCTCCTCTGTTCTGGCACCCAGGTGGTGGAATTAACTTCCCACAGCACTCTGGCTCTCTTCAAATGTAGACTAAAGACCCAAATCTTCACTAAGTATTGAAATGAACACTAATTTGGGGGGGGGGATTTTAAACTCATCCTGACTTTTCTGTAACAGGCTTTTAGCTTGATGATATTCTTAGAGCCTGGTCTATTTGTACAAGTGTAAATAAACGTACAAGACAATTGTAGCTATAAACAATGGAAGCCTATATCACTTATGTTTTTCTCCATAAATATATGTCTCTACAGATTCCTGCTATTCATAATGGGACAATGATTTGTTTACCTTACCTACAAAGAGAAGACAGCCATTCGTTTTCTACGTACACACTTGACATGGAGTCAAGTTAAAATGTTCACCCCAAGGGACAATGCAACAGTGATTTGAATGTAGATTTTCTCAATTTTATGTAAGTTAGATCTGAAACAGTAAAGTAACAAACTGAAATGACTGGCCAAAATGATTTATCAGGTCAACAGTGTGTAGTCCTATGTTTGTACAGTTCCCCCTCACAACTTTAGTTTCTACCTTGTCCCATGTATGGCTCGATATGCAACAATAGAAGACACAACTTTCTCATCTCATCCTGTCATATATTGTACAACCTCTCATTAAATGCGAATAGAGATGTCCCAAAGAAAAATAAAGCCTGGAAGTAGCAGAGAAAAAAGTAACACAAGTAACTTGTAATGATCTATAAACATGGAAAAGATTTCATCGTGTAGTTATACGCTGTAAGGTTACTGAAACGGCAATATCATTATTTCCACTTCAGTTTCACTGTCTTGCCAAGCTCACAGTGACTTCTTCTTCTGGGGATGGGTGTTTGATTTCCACCTCTGCCCTGTGTGTGCGGAGGGTGCATGTTCTTCCTGTGCTTCAGGGGTTTGTCTGTAGTGTGTGAATATGTGTGTGATTGTAACCTGCGATAGGTTGTCACCCCATCCAGGGTGTTCCCCACCTTGTGCCCCCTGGGATAGTCTCCTGTCTCCCCTGCGACCCTGTGTGTGTAGCATAAGTGGTATGGAAAATGGATGGATCGATGGATTATCTTGCCTAACTGTCTAAATTTTTTTTTAAAAAGAACAAATAATCCAGTTTTTTTCTGATCTATCCCTTAAAAATCATCGGATTTGAAAAATATGTAAGCGAATAGTGTTTTTACTGAAAGCTACGATGTTAGATTGTGCTGTATTGTTGTAAGATTGCATATTATTTTGCTATTTTTCCTAACATGCACAGATGAATAAAGTATATGCTGCAGAAACAATTATCTAAAATGATTTTAGCCCAGTGAAAAAATCATGCTTTTGCAGATAGATCTGAGACTGTAATGAGATACACAGAGGAGAAAAATCTGGGAATGAAACTCAGCAGAAGAAAATGGGGAAAACACACGCACAGATAGTGCACTGGTTCTTAGCAGTGTTAGAAATGAATAAGAAGCCACACCTGAGAAAAGGAGGAAGATCCCTTAATAGGAGCGAGAGAGAGAGAGAGAGAGAGAGAGAGAGAGGAGAGAAAGAGAGAGAGAATGAGAGAGAAAGAGAGAGATGAGAGAGAGAGAGAGAGAATGAGAGAGAGAGAGAGAGATTAGATGATCTGTTGAAACAAAATAGCCATGTAAACATAATCATGTAATTTATAAAATGCTCTCATCATGTGATGCACAGATATTTCCCAGACAGGCAGTGGTGGCTCAGTGGTTAAAGGCTCTGGATTACTGAAGGTTCAGGAGATTAGGAGTTCAAACCTCAGCACTGCCAAACTACCACTGTTGGGCCCTTGAGCAAGGCCCTTAACCCTCAACTGCTCACATGTATTAATGAGATAAATGTAAGTTGCTCTGGATAAGGGTGTCTGAAAAATGCCATAACTGTTTAAAAAAAAATGCATCTATCCTACTGAGATTGCAGGATTGTTTTTTTTATACCAGGACATGTCTGACTACAATTAGCAACTGAATAGATATTCTGTGCTGAATAGTGAGGCTCTGTGCATCATTATCTCATCATAATATTGTTACATTGTAATATTTTTGTTTACAGATATCCAAGTTTGTGGTATGTTGACTTAATAACATTCTTGCTTGGATTTCAGGGGGAATGCTGAAATTATCTTAGAAAGATAAATATGTTAATATTCATAGATGTGTGTGTGTGTGTGTGTGTGTGTGTGTATTAGGGATGTACATTATTCTGAATGAACAAAGTGTTATAAAGAGACAAATACAGAAAGTGCATTATTTTTCACACAGGTTCATGAGGCATCTAGTTGAGACTAGAGGTGTACACTGTGATGCTTACATGTGTCATGTCACAGCAAGCCAGTGACTGCATCTCCCATCCTGCACTGCGGCCTACAAACATGGCCACCATGGACTAATCACTCACACCTGCATCCAATCTCACACGCACTCACACCTACAGTATAAAGAGACTGTTTGAACACATTGACTTTGCAAAGTATTGAGTGTTATCACCGTACCAAGCGTTTGTACCCTGTTCCTCATTTTGATTCATGTTCTTTGATCTTGTTTCTGGTTTCTCGTTCTCGAGTCTTGTCTTGGCTCGTTTATACCTGTTTGCTGTTCGCCTGACCCATTGCCTGTTCTTGACCACGCTATTGTCTTATGATTTGGATTTGTCTAACTGTCTCTCTTTATTAAAAGTGCTTATCTGCACTTGTGTCCGGTCTAACCATCATTACGTTAATTACGTGACAACATGAGCCGCAAAAATATTTATATTTGATATTTTGTGAAATAGATCCAACTAAATTTAGGTACAAACAAACTAAAATTAAAAACAGCTCTGGTTGAGACCAATTAGGAACTGGAGTAATGTATGATGTGATGATGAGGAACTTTCAAAGCCAGAATTCACAGACAACGACTGACATTTGCTGACATTTCTCCGACATGAAAAAACGTGAAATGGATTGGAATGGTCATTCGGCTCATAATTCCCAGTTAGGAACTAAAGAATCGTCCACCTTGCCAGAGTTCTCTGATATAAACACACCTGATGTCACAACACTCTGACAGTGCACACAGTCAGCGGTAACCAGATTTCCTTTTACAGTATTTTTTTCTTGATAAAAATTGGTTTTACTTGCTGTGTAGCTTTTGTGTTGCATAAAGTTGTTTTGACAATTTTGTAAGTTTGGAGTTGTAATGTAATTCAGCGTAATCTCATTTATTTCAGTCCAGTTTTTACTAACGTGACCTGATCATTGTGACAGTTAATTTTTCTGAATAAGGATGAATAAGACAGTTTACTGCTCTTATACATTGTTCCTGCACTGCTGTTGACATTCTAGGAGATGTCCTGCCTCATAGAAGTCGCTGTGCAAGGTGCTGTGCCTGTGTTAGCAGTGCTCCATGTGTAGCGATGTTCCTGTGGGGCCTAGCATCACAGCATGTATTTGGCATATACTCTGAATAATATCAGTGTCAACATCGTGCCTCTGGTTCCAGCTCTGTCCTCTGTGCTCTCAGAGATTTGGGATTCACAGAGTGTACAATCCTCATATCACATTCTAGTCTGGAGGCTGCTCTGAAGCGTGTTTAATTCACGATTGTCTGAGCAGAAGCCTCGACACTTACCATGAGACTTTGCAGAGACCCACAGGGGCAATTAAAGCTCGAGTAGAAAGTCAACTGGAGCCAGACTTCATTTCAGGATTAAAGGAATAGTTTGTACATTTACACCGAAATGTATTCAATGTATTCAGCCAACACATATTTGAAATGTAACGTTTTTTATTTATTTATTTATTTATTTATTTATTTATTTATTTATTTATATTTGATTTATTTATTTATTTCACAGGAGGCTAATGAAGCCTTCATTCCATATCTGTTTTGAAAAAAAAAAATGAAATCTGAATTTTTGCTTTTATTACTTTGGATACGAATTTACAATGATATTTTTTTTCTATTTCATCTATATAACTCTATACAATCTACACTCTGATCATGATGTTTTAGAATACTGGTCTATATACTGAATATCAGTTATATATTTTTTACAATTAATCCATCTGAAACACGTTGAAAAAGTTTGTTTACATTCAGATAATTTTTTTCTTCATGTTGCACATTTTAGTGTTTTAGTTAAATGGAAATACGAAAAAAAAACTAAGGGAAAAAAATGATCAACCTTGGGGTAATGTGCTCTGGCTTTGAGTCCAAGTCTAAGTTAATCTAGCCTAGTCAGATCTTGTGGTTAGGAAAACATGCACTAGTTTCTCAGTGTTATATAGAGTTTACAGATTTCATATTTTGGCTGTGTTTCTCAGAAGGTAATAATTTGTCACTTGGGAGAGGTCAAATGGTGATCAAATAATGAGCCAGCATTTACATCAAGTTCACGCTGTGTTCGAAACCACATCAGCTAGTCTGATTTAGCAAGAGATAGACTTCCATTACTCGGTATATACAATAGGTTACTAATTACTGCACTACACAAAATATGCACAAAAAAAACCTTGGCTATGTTTGGGATTTTAAAAAACAAACAATGTGCTTAAAATGGCAATCTGTTAATCAGCTTTCCTCTTCTTCTGGCTGTGTCCCAAATCATGTTTTTTTTTTTTTTTGTCCTAATTCATTGTAGTCTACACATGTGCAGAAATGCGCATCTTATAGTAGCTGAAAAATGTCTTTAATTAAAACTACGGTAATTGAGATCTTATGAGGGTATAACAGAAGTAGAAAGGCATAAATTTACCCTGATGAGACCCCTAGAGAACTTGTCGTGTTTTATCGTGTTTTTCAGAGATGCTAGGGATTAATGAATTTTGCAAGCTTGGGGACAGGCTGCGTTTGGTTTTAAAGGTTAATTACCACATCAAATGGAAATTAAGTGACATTAAGTATTCCCTCTATGTTGGAAATTCCGAGTACATCCCAACAGCCTTGAATGCTGACCATATTAATGCCAAAAGAAAACACATGAACAAACAGACAAAGAATAAATCCTTCAATCAGCACATGATTAATGTGGTATAAAAATTTACAGATTATAAGAACATAATGTCAGTTTGGTTTATTACTGTGTCAGGCCATCTCAGAATACTTCCTGTCATGTATTTCCTGTTTTTGAAAACGTTTGCCCTGGACATTTTTTTTGTCCTGTGTCAAAATTAATTATAATGATTTAATTTTTTTGAATCATTATTCATTTCTGCCTTTTCAGTTTCATATGTTCTATATTTTCTAAAAGTTATCAATACTACTTAATGGGCTTCTAAAACTAGTATTACTATTAGCCACTAATACCTTAAACTGTTCCAACCAGAAGTAGCACTCTAATGGGAACATGTACTTACACTATCCTTCATAAGATTTGAACTGTCAGAATCCAAGACTTAACTGACTTATGCATGCACACAGAAACCATACACCTGACTGAGAAACACAATCAAGGGTGAACCAAGACAATTTTTACAGAAACACTTTTCAAAATATTTCATGATACAATTCTTTAGGCCTTAAATCCAACACAAAACAAGAAATATTGAAAAAAAAAAAAAAAAAAAAAACATCCATACAGTTTAAAGTTCTGCAAATGCATATGCAAATCAAGTTCAAAAACTGTGCCCCCACTTTAGTATGAAACCGGTTCAAGTAAATGTTCCTTTTTTTTTTTTTTTTGATAGTTTTGTTAGCACTTGAAAAAACTGAGTAAAGTAAATAAAATATAGACTTTGGGTTTTAGATGCATTTTTACATTAATTAATTTAGTGCAGAACTTAAAGCATATAAATAATTCAAATGAGGGGGGGGGGTGTTAAAAATCACAGATTTGTTTTGGTCATATTTACTGAACCACAGCTTCAGACAGAACAGTACCTCACAGGCACTCAACTGAGGCAAATCAGTATCTAACATTAAATCACCTGACTATTTCACGCCTGCTCAAAAAGCCTTTGATCTTTAGCGGGTAAAATTCCAATGCGGGTGAAGCTTTGCGGCTGTGAGCCTCTGTTGCTGCTGCTGTTCCTGTGGCACTCAAATGCTTTTGCAAATAAAGTTTACTTTTGATCAAGCTGTTGTTAATAAATTGTCATTGTTCACTGAGAAATTGGTGAGGAAATCTCTGGAGCAAGAAATGGGATCTAACACATGTCTCCATCCTGTTTGGTCTTATCAGCTAGCAGATTCAAAGACACCAAATTAATGGTGGGGCAAAAAAGAACACACACAAAGGTCAAATGTTCTCTTGTGGCAATTTGTAAGCTGACCTCTGTATTCAGAAATAAACTGGCATGAACACGGATGCTTGTAGATAACCTTGAGCATTTTATTTAGAAAACCAATTTCCATAATTATAGTCAAACTTTTATCGCAATATGAACTTTTATCATAACATAAAATCCATAATGTTAAAGTATTGGTTATTTTGAAGAGTATGGTGGTCCGCCTTGTGAAATATATTTGCATGAAATCCCTTCACAATATTATAGGACTACTGTAGTTTCAATCAGAGGAGCATTAGTGAGGTGAGAGAAGACCTTGTGACTGCAGAAAGGGTGCTCACCATTTCATATTTCACCATTTCTGTCAACAGACAGGAACAAGGATGCTTAGTAAAACAAACATACAGTATTATGCATTTATGTATATTCTATTCATAGCAATATTAGAGGCCATTGTTTGATAATAATAATAATAATGCAAGAAATAAAGGTTCATTGAAGATTTTTTTATCCCTTTTTTATCATTTGTACTGTACAGTGGGGGAAAAAATGATTTATCCCC